AGACTACACCACCACCGCAAGTTAATGTTCCTGCTAATCCTCGGGAACTTAATACTATACCTTACCCTGAATTTCATGAAGGAGATCAAGATCCTATAACTTGGCTTGAAGATATTGATAAAGCCTTCAAAGCCAATCTTATATCACCACTTTGGAAGATTTCTGTGATTGTTCCAATGCTTAAAGGCCCTGCTATGACTTGGTGGGTTACGAGAAGAAATCAGCACCCCATAATTGATCGATGGCGTGACCCTCTGGTACCTCAACAGAGGTTCACTACTCATTTTATAAACAAATTCAGGACCCTGAGTTGGAAGGGAAATGGTTTGCGCAGTTAACCCAAAGAAAACAGTTGCTAGCTGAAAGCATGGATGAATACCACACAGCAATTGAAGAAATGCTTCGACAAGTAGAGTCAGGTGGGCATCAGTACCCTAATACGGCTAAAGCACAAATGTTTATTAATGGACTTCGTCCTGAATTGTTTATAGCCATATCGGCTTTAACCCCTAATTTGTTAGAAGAAGCATATACCAGAGCAAAGGTATTTGAGAATGCTTATAAACAGAATTCTGTTCAAACTGCTTATGCAACTCCAACAGTATTTCATTCTCCTTATAGTTTCCCTGAAACCCCAAACCTTAACCTCACTAGTTCAAATGAAATGGCTGAGGCTTTGAAAACTTTAACGAATTCAATCGATAAGCTTATAACTCAACTTCAAGATCAGCAAAGGCCACCATCTAGATCTCAGTCTGAAAATTTTACCCCATCTACTGTAACATGTTTTACTTGTGGCCATACTGGACATTATAGTCAAAATTGTCCTGACCTACCTAATAATCGTAACTCTTCAGCTAATAATCAGCCACCTGTAGTTAATAATAATAATAATCCCAGTGTTAATAATAATAATAATTCTACTCTTAACAGAAATGATCCTCAAGAAACTCTGCAAGCCCTATTGGCATTAATGAATAATAATCCAGACATTTTTAATAATGCTAGGGATCAAACTTTGTATTTAGGAATTCCCAAAGATGAGTCATTATTTTTACTGGCAAAAAGGCCTATTCGTCCTAAGCCTATAGTAAATATGCCGATTCTTAGAAAAAAGTCAACTGGAATGAAAACAACTGATTTAATCGATCTTGAAGAAGCAGAGAGTACTAAAGATCTAGACATAGAAATGGAAGAAGTTCATGAAGATCATGAAGGTCAAGAATTACAAGACCCGGTTACTCAAAATCAAGACCAAGACCAAGACGAATCTGCCGAACTACTTGAGGTAAAGAAGGTTGAACCACCTAAAGTAAATAAAAAAAAAGAAGATGTAAAAGTGGGTTAAAAGAAGGTTCATGTTATTCGATGAAGGAAGATTGTGGAGGATGATTTATCCCAAATCTCTTCTTTGCTCATATCATATTCGATAGTAGCCGATGTAAGGGATAAACCTGCCAATATAACTATCGGGCAATTGTTACGAGTTACATCATCCATGAGACAAGAATTATCACGATCCTTACAAAAGAAAAGAGTCGTAAGTCGTAAAAAGGCTCAAGCCAATGTTAATATACAACCTACCTTAAAATCAATGGCTTTATATTGTGATGCTAAGGTTTACGACCGAGTAATTCTATTAATTGTCAATAGCAGGTCTTCTGGAAGTGTTGTTACTTCCTATTTATTGAATGATCTTGGTATAAGAATCGAACGGCCATCAGTAGTAAATATGGTCAACATCCATGGAGAGAGCAAGCGTGCTATTGGAGAAATTTCCGATTTTCCATTCAATATTGGTGGTGTTGAAATCCTGATCGATGTAGTTGTAACTAATGCCGGTTCGTATTGTGCTATTGTAGGAAATGACTGGTTAGCTAAGGTTAAGGCAGCCATCAATTGGAACAGGTCTGAGATGACTTAGGTCTGAGATGATAAAGAAATTGTTGTTCCAGTTGAGTTTTGAAAATTAGCCAAGGTGCCGTTAGACAAGGAACGAGTTGTAAGAATAAGAGACCTTGGAAGCGATAATAATGACGAAGTTGAAGAAAAAGATGAGGAAGTCGAAGATGAAAAATTAGAAGAGCAACTGTATACAATCTTGGAATTTAACGATGAAAGAGGGAATATTCAAAAAAGGTTAGGTTTAGAATGGGATGAAATTAAGATTTTTATGATGCATTTGTCAAGCTCATCAGTATACTCTGCATGGGGATCGTCTAAAGTGATTAATAATAAATTTGTAAAGTAAAAGTCACGTGAGGCATAGTGCAGCAAGCCAGCTTAGCCGACCCAGTCGGTTCAGCCACAGCAAATATTCCACAAACAAGTGTTTTGCGAAGAATTTATACTTAGGTGAATTAAGCTGATTTCTAGAACTCCCCCTAAGCCTAAAAGTATCACTATTTGTGCGATAGTTTGTGAAATATTCGGAGCCAGGTTACTTGGCTTGAATTACTGTAGATCAGCCGCTGCTAGTCCGTAGAAAATATTCCACAAACAAGCATTTTGTGAAAAATTTATAATTAGGCAAATTAGCTGATTTATAAAACTCCTTTAAGCCTAATTATTACCGTTTGAATGATATAGTTCGTAAGTTTGAGCCGAATTATTGAGCTTAATTACTGCGGATCAGCCATGGCTAGTATTCGGGACACTTTAAGAGTTAACCCACGAATTATCATCCTCGATATAATCACATGAAAATTGTTATTGGTCAAAAATATAAACAAAATATCAGGTGATATCAATTACGCACACTGTGCAACCCGAAAAATAATAGTACTATACCATTTATACTTCGAAATAGTAACTTAGTTGGCTTATATAACACTCTAATATTAATGCCCTAACCCTAAACTTCTATCTTTATGCGGTTTGTGTTGCGCAAATAAGTAAGTAAACAAACATCATAAAACCTGTGATCATCTGACATTTGTTACATTTTTTGGCCAATCAAAATTACTATGTGATGATATCGGGGTGATAATTCATTATAATCACTGGGTTAACTCTTCTTAAATCTTCCCGTACAAATATCACATGAACTATTGCTCAAATAGTGATTAATTTGCCTAAGTATAAATTTTCTGACAAAACACTTGTTTGGTGTATTTGCTACGGATTAGCCATGGCTGATCTGCAGTAATTCAAACCAAGTAACTCCATTTCGATTATCTCACAAACTATCGCTCAAATAGTGATACTTTTAGGCTTAGGGAAGTTCTAGAAATCAGCC